GAATAAAGTCGCTGTTGCTAAGAAAGAAAACCTTTGACAGGGAAAAATGTTTGTATCAAATATCTCTAAGGGCCTGATATCCAAGATATATAGAGAAGTAAAATACACACACACACACACACACACACACACACACACACATGAACAAGAGCCATTGGATAAGTGGTCAAAGGATATGAACAAATAGTTCTTAAAATAATTGCAAGCTATTAACAATCAAAGATTGTTCCAAATCACTAATACTAGGAGAATTGCAAATAAAAATACCTCCAAAGTTTCACACATGCCCCCTCCCCAGAAAACTGGCACAGATGAGAATGGTCAATGTTGGAAGAGCAGAGGAAACACAAGCACAATAATGTATTGCTGGTGGATCCGTGAATTAGTCATATTATTCTGGAAACCAATTTGGAATAATGCTTTGAAAAGTGAGTAAAATGTCCTTTGACCCCACTGCTGGGAATATACCCCAAGGATGTCAAAGACAGGTCCCATATGCACCCAAATTTTCCTAGCAGAGCTTCTTATGGTGACAAAGATCTAGAAACAAAGCAGATGCCCATCAACTGGGAAATGGATGAACAAATTGTGGTCTATAAATAGAATGGAATAGTACTTTGCTGTAAGAAGTAACAAATGTAGGGACAGCTAGGTGGCGCAGTGGATAGAGCACCGGCCCTGGATTCAGGAGGACCTGAATTCAAATCCAGCCTCAGACACATAACACTTAACTAGCTGTGTGACCCTGGGCAAGTCACTTAACCCCACTGCCTAGGCCCCCTTCCCCACCCCCAAAAAAAGAAATAACAAATGTGAAGAATTTGAAGAAGCATGGGGAGATTTTGATTCAGAATCAAGTGAGTAGCACAAGGAAAACAATATAAACCATGACTACAACAATGTGAATGGAAAGGACAGCAGCAGCAACAACAAATATGAAACAGTGTTGTGCAGTTATAGTGACCAAGCTCAGAAATGTTGAGAAAATGCTCCTTCCTGCCATTAAGTGGGGCCTATGGGTATGGAATAGTTCATATATGATCAGACTCAGCTGATGTGTTGATTGGTTTTGCTGAACTGCTTTCTTTCTCTCTTTTCTTTTGAATCTTGTTGTAAGGGATGGCCTTATGTAAATAGGGGAGAGGAGAAATGAAGAAATGTAGAAATGAAGAAAACAAAGCTATCAATAAAAATTTAATATTTAAAGTACGAGAGATCATCTCTGTATCTCTAATGACCATTTGTCTCTTAAGTTCTTAGCAAGATAAAAGTTCAATAATTTGTAATCTGAGATAATCAACCTCCTCATTTTACAGATAAGGAAACTGAGGCTTGGTAAGGTTAAGCTGTCCAAGGTCACACAGTGGCAGGGGTGGGATTTGAACCTAGCTTCTTTTACTCCAATCCATTGTTCTATTCGCTGTACCACAAGGTTATACTGCACAGCTCTGAAAGAACACGGGCTGGGAGGTTATGAGGCCTGAATTCTGGTCCCAGCTCTCAAACTTGCTAGCTATTTATCAAGGCCAGGGCTAAACCCCCAGGTCTCCCCATTCTCCTGCTCTTTTCTCTACACCACATTCTCCCTTATTCTCTTTTCTTTTTAGGGGTATCAGATATAGGTACCATTTCTGGTCCAGAAATCTAGGATACCAGAAAACTTTCCATGGACCAAACCCTAGTTCAGAGGTGGGGAACCTGAAGTCTTGAGGCAACATGCGGCCCTGTAGATTCTCTAGCTCGGCCCTTTGACTGAATCCAAACTTCAGTCAAACTGCCAAACTTGAGGACCACCAGGCCGCAGGCTCCCTACCCCTGCCCTAGTCAATTCTTTGATCTTGAGTGAGGCCCTTTGGTCAGAATCTGGGCTCCCCTACTCCAAGAAATTGAGGTGAATCTATTCAAGATTTTGTTCCTGGTTTTTCAAAAGGAAGTACTGGATGGTACTCATCAAGGATTCTTAACCTGGAGCCTGTGAAGTTATTTAAGAAAAATCTGATAACTATTTCAAATATCTGGTTTCCTTTGTAATGTTATGTATTTTACGCATTTAAAAAGCATATTTTGAGAAGGCATCCATGGACTTTATCTGGCTGCCCAAGAGGCCAGGACACCAAAAAGGGTAAGACCTCCTGGGCCAAGATCAGGATCTCGCCATGAACACTCTCTGATCACAACCAGTGTTTGATCAGTGGCTACGAATGAGTCTATTAGGTATTCTGGGATGCTGGTCTGCAGGACTGGTGCCTTTACATAACTATCCAAGATGAGGATTCATCCCCAATGGCCTCTTTCCTTGGTTGGGTTACTTTGCTTCCATAATGTAGCAACAGGGAGAACACTGCATGCTAAGATGAGTTGGCCTGTGATAAAGCTAGATGTGCTGTGTGATACCCCACTCAGAGGGTGGCAGCTGGGGGCCCTGCCCTATGTTGTTCTCTCTGAAGCGATGCTGCTAAGGGATGGATGAGCCTAGTAGCCTTGTGGACCAGCCTTTTTATTCCTTCATTTGGGCACAAGGGAGGCCGTGTGGCATAGTGGATAGAGAGTGGCCCTCTGAGTAGGGAAGTCCTGGCTCTGCTAAATCCTGGCTGGGAGACCCCCTTAGGTGCCCCCTCTGCTCCCTAAGACTCTAAGCCCCTATACAATGGTGGAAGGAGTTTTCTCACTGAGAATTCCCTTCATTAATAAAATCACAGGTCTAGTGCAAAAGAAAAAAATATATTCAAAGATCCTTTGGCCTTAAAAGCACTCCTGGAAGGCTCCCTCCCTCCCATTCATCAGGTTGCAAGGGTACATGCAATGGTATCCTCCTTATGGAGCCAACTGCCTTTACGATGGATTGCCAGGACCCTGTCATGTATAAAACTCCTAGAGCCACAGGATCTCAGAGTGAGGAGGGACCCTATGGAACCTGAGGCCCAGAATGAAGAAGGGACTTGCACAGCTTGTCACTGGTAGAGCCAGGACCAGAAATCAAGTCTTAAGGCATCCTTCCAGGGCAGCTAGGTGGTGCAGTGGATAGAGCTCTGCCCTTGGAGTCAGGAGGACATGAGTTCAAATCCCGCCTCAGACACTTGACACTAGCTGTGTGACTCTGGGCAAGTCACTTAACCCCAATTGCCTCACAAAAAAAAAAAAAAGACATCCTCCCTCCCCCCAACCCAGCTCTCTTTTTACCAGGTCACAGCAATCTGTTCCTTGGTGCCAATCTGACTCTTTGCAGTCATGTCTACATGGAGGGAAAATGCCAATAAAGTTCCAGCAATCCCTAAGAGGTCTGGGCCCTTCTTAAGCCATCTTGGAGAGCATGCCTCAGAGTGCTGAAAACAGCAGATCAGGAGCAGACTCAGGAATTGGGTGAGGGGGCAGCAAGTTGCTGGGATTCTCTCCCTATTATAAGCACATTGAATAAGAGATGGTTCTTTTGCATGAGGCTCAACTTCCCCCTACTTGGACAGCACTGGCTTTTCAAGGGGGCTGTCTCCCAAATCAGTGAGAGGGCTTCCAGCTCAGCCTTTTCTCAGGCATGAGAGTCCTGTCCCTTTAGAGTCTGCCTGGCAGGATCTCTCAACACGACCCACAGAGGCATGCTGAGCAGGCTTTGGTTTCAGCTTTCTCCTGTGAACAGAGCCTAGAGCCCCTAAGCTCTCTCCCAGGGTTCGACAGCCAACATGTCTGCTTTTTTGGTCACCATTCTCAACGCCCATCCTTCCCATCTCACTTGTCCTATAAGCAGAGCATCGAAGGGACCCAGATAATTCCCCCCCCCCACAATCCCATCCCACGTACACCTGCACCTATTTGCTTCAAATTTCTGCTTTTCATCTCCTATTAGGCACATCACCTTTGAACTTGAAAGTCATGGTCAGTTTGCTGCTTCAGCCTGGATTTTCAGATTCCCACCCTGGCATGATGACCTTGAGGAAATTCCTTAACCTATGTGGGCCTCAGTTTCCTGATGTACACAATGAGAGATTTGGACTAAGTAACCTCAGAGGGTTTGTCCACCTCTAGATCTCTGCTCTTAGGCAAGTTACTCTAACCTCTCTGGGCTTCAATTTACCTATAATGAAGGAAATGGATTAGAGAGCTTCCTCAGTTTCCTTCTAGCTTTAGAACCTGTAGCCCATGAACTTGTTTTTTTTTAAACCACAACATTTTGATTAGTATACTTCAATACAATTAGTTTCCTTTGTAGTCCCATGGATTTGATTTTTATATATTTAAAAACATGATTCTGCGAATAAAGCCCATAGGCTTCACCAGTTTGATTGCCAACAAGGTCCACAACACACAAAAAAGATTAAGAACCCCTCACAGAGAGTTCTGCGCCTGTGCTCTTAGACAAGTTAATTCACCTCTGTGGGCTCAGTTTCCTTCTCTGTAAAATGAAGGGGTTAAATGAGATGGCCTCTGACGACCCTTCCAACCCTAGATCTGGAATCCTAGGATATTTGCTGTACTTGCTCCCCAAGGGCACCCTGGGGAGAAAAATCTCTAGCCCAAGGGCACCGTAACCCCCACATAATCTTTTGATCATATAGGAAAGCAGACCGGCAATCCAACCAATACCAGCCATTACAGGTACAACTTAGGACCGTGTCGAACGAAATCTCCAAGTCTCTTCCGCACACCACTCCCATTCCCGCCCTTCACTCTACTGGTTCTTAACCTGGGGTCTGTGAATTTAGGGTTTGGGTTTTTTTTTTTTTTGTTAACTATTTCCATCTAATTGGTTTGTTTTGTAACCATATGCATGTTATTTTATGCGTTTAAAGAAATAATTCTGAGAAGGGGTCCCTAAATTCGCCCCGGGCTGCTCAAAGTGTGGACGCGGAATAGTATTCCCTGAATACACGCTAGGAGGTTGACCGACTAGTGGTCATGAGGAGGCTCCCTATCCCGGTCTAAGGCGAGGCCTCCTGGGGCGTCAGGTCCTCAGTCCCCCCACCTCCCAATGCCGCGGAGCGAGGCTGAGGGCTTCTTGGCTTACCCACCTGTGGAAGAAGAGAAGGATGGACAGCATAGTCTGGTCAATGTTGCTGTTGCAGATGCCCTCGTTGAGCAGGTAGCAGGGGTCGCGGACCACTGGCTCCAGGGAGTCCTGCCGCATGATTTTGTTCAGCTTGTCTGCGTTCAGGTTCGCGAACACCAGCTGTTCTCGCAGCTGCCGAAAGTTGCTCACGCTGGGGCTGGCCAAGGCGCCGGTGCCCCCGCCGGTGCCGCCGCCGTCGCTGCCATCGCCGCTGCCGCCGGCCTCCTGCCCGCTGCGGTTGGCCAGGTCCAGGCAGCAGGTGCAGCAATCCAGCCCTACAGGTGAGGACAGGGCCATCGTAGCTCGCTCAGGGCCGGCTCGGGAGGGAGCTGCGCCCAGACGGTCCCCAAGGGACACTCTGACTCCTCGCTGAGCCTTCTCGGGACTGAGCTTCTTGGAGGCGCCAAACTCAGCGGCCGGCGGAGCCGAGCGTCAAGGCTGCTGGCTTCCTGCTGCGGCTGCTGCTGCGGCTGCCACTGCTGCCGCTGCTGCTGCTGCGGCTGCCGCTCTGCTTACTGGTGCCACAGCCCTCAGACAGACAGCCCAAGTTTCTCAACTTAACACCCAGACTCAGGATTGGACCTGTAGCGGCAGTGGGAAGACTCCCAGGCGCGGCTGGGGTGGGGGCGGGGGCGGGGCCGGGGGTGGGGGGAGGAGAGGAGGAGAGACGAGGGACAGAGGGGAAGCCTCTTTCGTGCCGAGGTCCAGGGAAAGAGAGAGAGAGAGCGATCGAGAGAGAGAGAGAGAGAGAGAGAGAGAGAGAGCAGCACACTGCAGAGCCACCAGAGGGCTATGACAGCATGTAAATCACTCCTGGAGGGCAGGAAGAAAGTTAGCAGCAGCTGTTTATAGGTCCCTTAGGCCCGCTGCGCAGCCCAGAGCCCCGCACGCACTCCAGCCTCCCTCCCGGGAGGGGCTTCGGGGCTGCTCTCTCTTCCCCGACCCCGTTGTCCAGGCTCAGGGTTCCCTCTGCCACTAGCCAAGTCACATCCTTCCTTCAGAAAGCAAGCTAGCGAGCACAGGCAACCTTCCCTTCCCGTCCCACCCCTGCCTGGCTGCCTCCGCCTGGGCTGAGGGTTTTCTTGTCCCTGGAGAGGAAGGAAGCAGGGCCGGCTGTAGGCAGCAGGAGGGATGAGAAGCCCCTGGCCCCAGCCCTACTCCTAATGCCAGCTTGCCTCGGCAGGAAACTCCTGGAGGGCAGGGAAGATTTCATTCCTTGTCTTTGTACGCACCCTAGCATGTGGCACAATGCCTGGCACAAAGTAGGCACTGATAAATTCTTGTTGATTGGTTGAAGGCAGGGAATGTTGTGCTCTTTGTCTATCTTCAGCATGTAGAACAGTGCCAGGCATACAGGAGGTGCCTAATAAATGCTTCGTAAGTGATTGCTTCTATCTTCGACAAAGCTAGGAAGTATCTATTCAGTAAGGATGTTTTCTCCGCCCCAGCCCCCTTTCCCCACATGGCAATGCTTCCTAGGCCTAGAAATCCAGTAAAGCGCTTCAGAACCAACTAGGAGTCCTGTTTGAGACCCAAAGTCGTGCTCCACTCCAGGGGTTTTCCTCCTTATGAATGCCAGGTTCCTTCTCCCTAGGGTTACCACTTGCAAAATTGGAGCACAACCCTGGAAAAGGCTCCTTCACTTGCCCCTCACAAAGCTCCCTATTAAGCAAATGGAAGAAGAATCCAGGACAACTGTGCCCCCAAAATGGTATTCTCCAGTTTTTCATCACCCCTATCCCTCTCCCTGCTGCAAGCAATGAAGAAAGACAGTGGGGATAGCCTTGGACCCCACTAAGCCAGGACACATTTGAATAGTGGATACTTGTACCAAAGTGTTGGGGGGGGAGGGGGAGACTTGTGCTTCCCGTCTATGTTATTGTTGGTCTGGATTATTAAGTTCAACTTTGCCCTGTTGGCAAGGAAGGTCCTATGCCCAGTCACGCCCAGTTGTGCTCAGTTGTGCAGTCATCATAATGATGATGATGATGATTGACATTTCTATAGTGCTTTTAGGTTTACAAAGTGCACTGAGTATGTTAGCATTCCTCTTCACAACAATCCTATGAGAGAAGTGTTCTTCTTATACCCGTTTTATATATGAGGAAACTGAGGCTTAGAGAGGTTAAGTCACTTACTCAGGGTTATACATCAAAGGTGGAATTGGATGGCAGCATGGTATAGTGGATAGAGTGCTAGACTTGGAGTCAGGAAGGCCTTCAAATCTAGCCTCAGACCATTACTAGCTGTGTGACCCTAGGCAAGTCACTGAACTGCTCTTTTTGTTTCCCCATCTATAAAATGAGTGGGTTGGACTCAGTGATCTCTAGATCCTGTGAACCCATGTCTTTCTGACTCCAAGTCCAGCACTCTATTCGCTAATACAAAATACCATCAATTTGTTAATACGTTGGGTTCTAGAATTAAGCACGGGATTGTGTGATTCAGGGGTGAGCCATGGTAGGATGGTCAGCGCTGCCTATCTATCTTGTGGCTCAGACAACTCTGATTATTCTGGACCAGTCTAGGATGGTAAGTGTGTCTTAAGGCCAATAAGGATCTCTAGTTCTTGCTCTGTTCTCATATGGAAGTTGTTTATGCCAAAGCATAAGATGGGAGAGCCACCTTGGTAAGGTGGATCACTCCAGTGAACAGACCCTGTACCTGTCTGTGCTCCAGTTTATTAGACACAGGTAGTTGGTATACCCCAGAAGCAGGAAAGGGGCCTTAGAGAGTGACTACTGCCGAGAAGGACTTTAACCAAGTGCCATAGGGCTTGGGACCTAAAGACACTGAAATGCTAAGAAGAAAATGGATTTGTTTTAGGCAATACTCAGGCCAAGGGTGGGGAACCTTCAGCCTCAAGGCTGTGGCCCTCTAGGTCCTCGGGTGAAGCCTTTTGACTGAGTCCAGATTTGTTCTATGAAGTTTGGATTCAGTCAAAGGGCTGCACTTGAGGACCTAGAGGGCCATGTGTCCCCTCGAGGCCTCAGGTTCCCCACCCCTGCCTTAGGCAGAATTGAGAGCTCCCATGGCAGCCAGGCCCCTTAACCCACAGGTTGCTACTATAAGAGTTACAGACACCAGGGGAGGGATCTGGCACTGGGGAAAAGAAATGGGAAAGAGGACATTGGAGGAAAAGAAGAAGGAAATATCTGGGCAGGGGAATAAGGGGGAGGGGGAAACAGCAGAGAAGAAGGTCCCCTGGGGAGATCCGAGGAGAAAATGAGGGTGCTGACAAGTGACAGTCTACATATGCAACCATGGACTTCTATCACTGATATTAGTGCCCCCACTGGCTACTCCCAGCTCCATGGCTCAAAGGGGGACATCTCAATCCATGGACATCTTGTAAGTCTCCATTTCCACTGAATCTTTTTTGTCCTTACCCCAATCTGAGCCTGAATGATGCACATGACATCATAGTAAGGAAAATTTTCTTAAAACAGCATGCAAAGTAAATAAGAATGAAATCAAGAGGCAAACCCTATCAGGGTCGCTTCCCAAACCTCCCCAGACTGGTGTCTCTAAGTCTATTCCCTCTGCATTCTCCCACAGTCCTATATCTTTAACACATAGGACCAGAGAGAAGTCACCTCTCAGTGAACTCTCGTTTCTTACCAACACCGAAAAGCAGGAAAATTGTCCAATCACTTAGAGGAGGTTGAGCTCAGGGAAGCCCTGGGCTTCTCACCCAACACTTTTATTGCACCCTTGTGCCTGTTGCTGCCCTAGTCACAGCCCTTGCACCTTCTGACTTGCATCCCCAAACTCCACAGTTGGCTAGCCTCAATCCATGCCGGAGTATTACTATACTAGAGAACCCCTACACAGGCTTTGGGGGAATGTAGTTCCCAAGGAGGCCAAACTGTCATACATGGCCATGGGACCCACCCTTTCACATGAATTATTTCTCTAGTGGAAAGGCAGTGTGGAGCAATGATGAGACAGCTTTGGAGTCAGGAAGATGTGGATTCAAGCATTGCCTCTGTCACATCTTGGCTGTGTGATCCCAGGCAGCACTTAACCTCTCAGTGACCCCAGTAAATAACAGAATAGGTAATGTGACAATGGTACTGGCAGGTCTGTGAGTAAGAGGTCATAGGTTCAGACCCCTCTCTTTCCTTTTTATAGGACTTCATCTATCCAAGTTTCATTACCATTATTATTTGAAAGTTTTTACATGTTGTTAATAATTCCATTTCAAAACCATATTATTGGGGACAGCTAAGTGGTACAGTGGATAGAGCACCAGCCCTGAAGTCAGGAGGACCTGAGTTCAAATCCGGCCTCAGACCAAACACTTGACACTTACTAGCTGTGTGACCCTGGGCAAGTCACTTAACCCCAATTGCCTAAAAAAAAAACCAAAACTGTTTTATTGATGATCATTTCCCACCCACCCCCTTCAGTCTGAATCCTCTCTTGTGCTAAAGAAGAGCAATTAAGCAAAACATCTACATGGAGACTGTGGCTGACAATGTATGCAGTATTTGGTCTCAGTTGGCCCCTGCCTCTCTTCTGCGAAGGAGGAAGTAAGTTTTCAGATAATAAGCTAGTTTAGACAGAAAAATAAACACGTACCTCTAAGTTTGATATGACTCAGCCGTGAAGTGTGATGGCCAAAAAGGAGAATGCTCTCTTAGGTTGCCATCAAAAGAGGTGGAGGGTCTGGTGCTAGGGAGGTGAGAGGCCTACTGGTCTGTGCCTTGGGCAGGCCACCCGAGGAGGGTGGGCTTCAGCTCAAAGGGGCCACATTCTAGGAAGGCCATTACAAAACTGAACAATGTTCAGATCCAAGTGTCAGGAGGGGGAAAGAACTTATTGCCCCCCCCCCATTATTATTTATTTATTTTAACAGTCTTTTCTTTAAAAACTTTTGATGTTGCTATATTAGATTTGGTTGAAAGAACTGGGGATATTTAGCCTGGAGAAGAAAAGCCTGACACCTGGTCTAGTGGAAAGAGTGTTAGATTTGGATTTGAATTCTCATTCTTTCACTTGTGTGACCTTGGGCAAATCATTGGCCTTCCCTGGAACCTCAGTTTGCTCACCTGTAAAATGAGTGCATTAGACTAGATGACCTCGGAGGTCAGTTCCAGCTCAAAGACCTGAGTCTAAGTATTTGAAAAGCTGTCACATGGAAGAAGGAGCCCCAGAGGGCTGAACGAGGGTGGGGACAACTAGGTGGAGCAGCAGAACTTGTCGGAAATTCAGAGACACATATTTACACCTGATTTAATAATAGGTGATGTTTCTTTAGTGCTTTAAGATTTGGAAAGCAAGCTATCAGCTATTGTCTCCCTTGAGCTTCCCAACAACTCTATGTAGTTATTGTCCCCGTTGTATACAGACAGCTAAACTAACAAAGAGAAATGAAGTGATTTGCCCACAGACGCACATAGAGGCCGAGGAAGAATTGGAACTCAGGTCTTCCTGACTCTACCATGAATTTGTTCAGTTGTTCAGGCATGTTGGACTCTTTGTGGCCCCATGGGTCATACTGTTCTCTTGGCAAAGATACTGGAGTGGTTTGCCATTTCCTTCTCCAGAGGGTTAAGGCAAACAGGGTGAAGTGACTTGTGCAGGGTCATATAGCTAGCAT